GGACACTGGGGGGGGGGGGGGGGGGGGATAAATCGAGTGCATCGTAGGGGTTTGATCGGAATAGGAGGGTTTTCATCATTAAATGTTATCGGCGATCCGTGCACATGTTATACTTGTACAGGGAGTATGAGGTGCGCTTTCGGAGATCCGTTTAGCTTGCCGCGATAACTTTTCTTTCCACAATAATTTCGATTCCTCATTTTAGATGCGTTTCAGCCGCCAGCAGTAGGGGCCGAAGTACAATGGTAAGTGGTGAGCAACATTCTTTCCACAGAACTAAAAGACGAACCAGGAACTCGAGAAGAGGGCTGGGTCTGCACAGCACTTATTGGAGAAAGCGCATTATGGCGGCAGCCCTAGTCTTATGAGACCAAATCCACAAAGCGTCTCCCAACCGAAGAAAAGACTCACCCATGGTACTCATGTCAAAGGTACGAGCTCCAGAGATGAAGATTTATGACTATACAGACATTGACTTTGACTATTGTTAGCTTTCTACCCTTTCCCCCGAACGTGGGGTCTTGCACTAATAACTTTAGCTATTCATAAGAGTTCTCTATATACATATATTGTCATTTACGTTTAATACGTTAAGTTAGGTTAGGTTTAGGGTGAAGTCGGGGTCGTCGTGAGCGGAGTGGAAGAATTTAAGAAAGTTGATAGCCGAAGAGCATCGTGGTAGCGAAGAGGTGTGAACGTTTGTCAGACGTTGGAGATGGAGTTGTAAAGGTTAAGGTTTTGTGCAGCGTATAAGGGTGGGTAGATTAAAGAGTAGAGAAGAGTAGAAGCGGCAAGTTAAAGTCTGGGCCGGTAGAGTTGAGATGGGGTTGTAGTATCTGAATCGCAATTTCTGTGATTTGGATGCGAAACGTCGTGTTTATTCTCGAGGATTGTTAGGGGTGGTGTTCAGGGTTTGAGCGTGGATTGGTGAGTCTGCGCGGGCGTTGCTGGCTCCGGCCGAGCCTGAGCGGAGTAGATTACAGCGGGTAAGCGGCCGAAACAGGAGCATGAAGTATGAGTTACTTATGAGCAGTTAGCGTTATACGTGGGGGCTTGAGCGTCGAAACAGCAACGACCCCCTCCCGCTCTTCTTGAGCATCGACCCATGCAGCCACAGCAACCTATACAGAAGCCTATACATAGCCGCAGTTAACTGGCAGTGATCGTTTTACCAGCGTCGATTACGATTTTTCATCATAGGGGACATAAGTTTTCCCAAATCCCATGAAGTTCGAGTTTCAGAAGCAAACTGGGGTTATTTTATATAGGCGATGTTTCTAGTTTGAGCCAAAGCCTTCTTGCGCGACGGGGGTGGACCCGCAGGTGGGAGGGAAAGTTTAAGCAGTGCTTTGGGGTCATTATTAGGCTAGTAAGTTCAGATCTCTCTTTGCGTACGTGTAGAAGTACAAACCAGTTTACTAAAAGGGAGCACTTAGGCAAGGAGGCTGGAACTGTGGGTTTACCTGAGATAGTGAGTACGAATGCCTGCCCTCTTACGGAGCGACTTACTGGGAGTCTAGCGTAACAGGCGAACATCTCGCCCTATGTTGGCGCTATAACATTACCTTGCTACTGAACTAGACATCACAATTTAGACCCAACACTCTTGAGATTCCTCTTGAATTGCCACTCCAACCGATCTCATTATCTCGCAACTGCTCCCTCACGATGGAGTCTAACTTTTACGAAGGGCTAGTAAGTGGCAAGAAATTGAGTTTCAATTCAAATGACTTCGTTCTTCTTTTAATCCTGGATTGACAGTTCCGAAGTGGTTTTTCCAGCCCTGAGAACTCCAAAGGCACACAAACTAACTCTTTTTAGGAAGGACGCTTTGCAATCAACCTTTCGTAAGTAAAGGGTTATGTAGAGGTGGAACCTTTTGAAAACAAAGTTCTTTTGTCCCTAAAGGTAGGTGAGTGTTAGGCCAGTAACTACTACACGGGAAGAATCTAAAACAATTAAGTATGGTGAGTACTGGTAGCCTTTTGCTATTCTGGATGTTACAGTTGTCATTAAACCTTACGACGGTACAGGTACGGAGGCTCATAGCGATTAGGCTCGCGGACGTAACCGGAACCGGTTCGGCCACAGCAATGACCTCCTCTGGTGTTCAACCGACTTGTAAGTACTCAGCTTTCAGGGGCGAGTAAGAAATGACCAAAGGTTAGACTCTAAGGTGGGTCGAGGTTAACGGGGGTTTTAGGACCACAGGGGAAGAGCTTGTTCATTACATTGTGGACCTCCATTTCCAAGGAACAAAGAAGCATTTTATCATTAGGCTTTTGGCTGTAGAATATTTTTCGCTTTTATTCTCATGGATTATATCAATATCATTTAATGATTTTATGATCTCATATCGTAAAAATTATATAATTATAAAATTATATTATGAAATATTATCATTTCTTGAATTATATCTTGTCTATTTAATTTTCACATTATTTTATTCTTATGTCTGAAAAATAGAATAATTTTAGAGCTCAAATTAAGAATATTAGGTCCCGTTCTCAGGTATAATTCAATAAATATGATTTCATAGGTCATACCAATTTATATTTCAAATTCTAATACGAATAAAATTATCAATTTATTCTTGATTCAAAATAAACAGGAAAAATTAAATAAATTACCCTCCTATTTTATCAATAAGTGGGATTTAAGCATTATAAAATAATGTAAAATGTATAGAAAATTTATGAAAATAAAATATAAAATATTTCTTGATAGATTTAATATAAATATTATTTTGTCTTTAACATAAGTGTCGAATATTTCTCTTTAATAAATATTCATATCATATGGGATTCTTTTATTTGAATACAATTTAATCCTTTGAAAAGAATAGAATTAACTAATAAATTAAATGTCCGATTATTAAAATGATATTAGTTCTCTCTCTAGATAAAAAAGAATCTTCATCCCGATAAAAAAATTAATTATTTAAGCTCAATACAATAATAATCTTTTAAATACTCCGCAAAGGATTATTATATGAATATCAATGCTTTTCATATATATCTTTCATTAATCCAAAAGAACATATGAAATATAAAAACCTCCAAAAAATATTTTTAATTGTCGTTTATTATCTCAATCATCTAATTATAATCATTATTTTATTTAATTTCTAATTATAAATATTTTGATATCAAATTTCAATAATAATCTATATTAATTTTAGAGTGATTTTTCTAGCTTTAGCTTTAATATTAAGAAATTTTTACTAATTGAAAAAAAATAATGTTTTTTTTTAGATGCATTATTATATCTTCTTAATTTCCGAAAATATTATATTTTTCAATCTTTTTATTTCTAATTAATTAGAAGTTCTTGATTTTTCTTTTTTTTTATTATATTCCTGTTCTAATGCTTAATATATTAATTTTGTAATGCATATATCCAAAATAAATAATCATAAAGCTGAAATTCTTAAGGTTACACATTTTGGTTGGCAGGGGCACACAGATTTTGTATCTATCCTGAGCTAAGCCCTGAGCCCTGATTCCTTAGCACACTAATAAGTTAGCTAGATTATGTTTACAGGATGATCTTCCGGCCCCCTCGCGAGGTTAGCTAATCTCCTTAATTTTGCAATCAGTCCGTAACACGCAGGCTCGAGGGAAATTGAGGCAGGGGACTCTGCCGACGCACACCTCTTCTTCCTCATAACCATGATGTTAGTTTGGCCAGATGGGAAGATATCCCGAAGAATAGGCTAAGTAGTGCTCAGCTCATGTTGCCACTCGGCAGAGACTGAACCAGGCCGCGTATGATGTTTCCCGCATAGATGGGGTCGTGAAAATGCTTATACCATAATCTCTCGGCATAATATGAGCGCGATAATCACTATTTGCGGGCGCTTGCGAGCGAGCACTATAAACTGTGGTTCAGTAAGTGTTAATTCAAGTATATGTTTAGACTGACCTTATATTCAAAGTCACCTAATTAAAAGGAGTTATCCCTGTATTCAAAAGGGTTTAGGGTACTTCAAGCTCAAAGTCTTTCGTTGACCCCTAATAAAATATTATCCGCTACAAAGATGCAAACTCGGTTTCGGAAGAACGCGCTGCCTCCCACCTGGGCCACCTCCCTTTCCAATTCTCCACGAAACCTCCAGTAATAATCTCGATTCCATTCAAGTCTAAGTAGAAACTGCATGCACATGCTTCATGTGTTGGCTCAAATGATTTTCCTCGTGAATCCGTTTCCTTCCGACCTGTGACACCAATGACTCTACACTCATGCTTACGGACGGGAGAATGCCCTCGCTGATGACGCCTCAGATCGCATTGTCGCTTGTATGAGCGGATACAACCGCTGATATTGTAATGGAAACGATGACTTGATCTGCTAGTGTTAAATCTGGGTTGTGAGAACTCTAATGAGAACTTACGGTGAGGTTGCTAGAGTAATAGAGCGTTGAGAGGGAGTGCTAGCCTCAGATTGAAAATGCTCCCGATCATTCACCGTTCTTTTACTCAAGTTAGTTTTACTGAGCAAAGAAATAAATTGGAGGGGCCCTACTGTAATGCTTCACCAAAGGTGGACTCTTGAGGTTCCGTGTTGTTTTGATTGAGAGAATCCTTCCTGCGAAATCGTTAGTTGAGAGCATTCATATTCTCCAATACAGTCTCTCACTTTGGAATCTTTGTTTCAGAAACAGGGATTTCCATCCACTCACATCCGGTCATTGATTGATGTGCCCTTTAGATTTTGTTAATTCATACCACTCATGGACATCAGACGATAGACCTACATGTCAAAGTAATTTGGAAGTGCTGCCATGTCCATCTCTCCGATATCGCTAAATCCGAGCGCCTCATTGCCTTGGCCAACGCCGTGTCGTTATGGAGGATACCATTGCTGAATTCCATGAGGTCGAAGTCCGCTCATTCTTTACTGGTTCCATCTGAGTTCCACCCAGCTCCATTGCCCCAATCTCTGGTGTCCTTTTCAACAAGTATTACACCTGGGAGGTAAGTTCCTTTTTCTTACTATATACTAATACTAGCCTGACATCTTTATAAAAAGCCGAAATAAGAGTACCTAATTATATTATAGTAAATTTACTAAATAGCTAGAGTAATAGCATTTTAATATATTATTATTTTAATATATATACTTATATATAAAGAACTTAATTATAGTAAATATAAATTAAAAGTTTAATAAAATAAATACAACTTTTTTATTTATTTAAAATCTCGAGTTTATATTCTTATAATAAATATATTAGTATTTATTACTAAAGTATCAGTATTTTAAATATAAGTTTAAGATTTATAGCTTTATTTTATATATTAAATAAAACTAAGTTCTTTATTTTCTTTTTATTATTTTAATTTAAAATATATTATAAATTCGTAATTATTTTATTTACTATTTTACATATCTTTTAAATACTTTTATTTTATATTTTATAAGAACTTATTCTAAATTATATTATATAATAAAACAGAAATTGTATTAAGCTTATAAAAGAAATTATTTTATAATATTATATATAAGAAAATAAACTTATTTAAATTAGTAAACTTTTCTTATCTTAATTATTATTTTAATTTACAGGCTATAATTTACTATAATAAGATTATTTTTCTTAGAATAGGCTATTTTTTTAATTAATAAATTCAGTTATTTTATTATTAGTAAAATTATAGGCTTTTTTTAATATATTATTTATTAGTTAGAAATATATATAAAAGTAATATAGGTTTTTCTTTAATACTTTATATTTTGAGTTTTTATTAAAATTAAAGCAAATAATATTATAATTAATATTAGTAATAAAATTAAATTAAAGATTAATATTTATAAAATTATATTTAAAGTTATTATTAGATATTAATTAAAATCTCCTAAAAATCGAAATCGAAATTATAATTCTTTAAAAATATTAACTTTTTTTTATTTACAAAAAAATCTAGTAAATATATAAAGAATTAATAGGCTTTTATAATATAAAATTAGAAAATAAAGATTAATTAATTTCTAAGAACTAAAAAGAAAAAAGAAATAATATAAGCAAATTACGAATTATATAATTAAAAATTTATTATATATTTTATCTTATATATATTTCGACTTTAAATTCATGTGTTTCTATATTTAATTTATTATTTAAATACTAGTAAATACTTTATTTTATATTATATAATTATATAAATTGTATTTAAAATACTAGTAAATAATTTAACTATTACTAAATATATTTAAAATATAAAGAAATACTTTTTAATATTAAATTATATTCGAAATATAAAGAAAGTCTTTTTCTTTCTTTATTATATTATATAAATTATATTTAAAGTATTTTTTAAAGCATTTACTAAAAGTACTCGAAATTATATAAAATATTTATATTAATACCTTTATTATTATAATTATAATATAAGTATTACTAGTTTTAAAGAAAGTTTAAAAGTCAAAAAATTAGAAAAAGAAATTATAAATTGAAAATATAAAATTAAAATATATATTAAAGCTTTTATAAATATTATAGTAATTATGGAAATTATAGTAATTATAGTAATTATAGTAATTATAGTAATTATAGTAATTATAGTAATTATAGTAATTATAGTAATTATAGTAACTTATAGTAATTATAGTAATTATAGTAATTATAGTAAATTATAGTAATTATAGTAATTATAGTAATTATAGTAATTTTAGTAATTATAGTAATTATAGTAATTATAGTAATTATAGTAATTATAGTAATTATAGTAATTATAGAAATTATAGAAATTATAGAAATTATTAGATTCGGAACTAAATAAGAAAAAAAGTATAGAAGTATTAAAACTATTAAAATTATATATAAAAGAAAAAAGAATTAGAAATTATTGAAATTATTAGACTTAGAATTAAATGTAAAAAAAGTAAAAAAAGATTAAAAATTATTAAAATTATATAAAATTATATACTTATATTTAGTATATAGCTTTAGCTTTATATATTATATATATTGTTGTTTTTATTTACCTGAAATAAAGACTTATATAATAAAAGAAGCTAAAAGCAAAAATAAAGAAATCTTAATATTATATAGCTAATTAAATAGAAAATATATAATTAAACTCTTATTAAAATAGCTTTTTATAATAAATAAATAAGTTTTAAATATTAGAATTAGAGGAATCTTTATATTATATAAGTTTATTAATATATTAAAAATAAGAATAAGAAACTTATAAAATATCTAGCTTTATAAATAAAAGAGAAAAGTTAAAATTAATAGAAATAGCTATTATATAATTAGTAAAATTAATAGAAATTAATATAATTAGAACCAAATTATAAAGCTTAATAAAAGAGAATAAAGAAAAGAAAATTATAATATTCGTATAATTAGTTAAAATATAATATATTTAAAAGCAATTATAAAAATAATATAATTAAAGCCTAAACTATAATATTTAATAAGAAAGAATAAAGAAATAAAAAACAAAAAAATAATAATATTTATAAAATTAGCTAAAATATAATATATTTAAAAGTAATTATAAAAGAAGTAATAAAAGAAAGTTTTAAACTAAATAAGAGAAGTTATTATTATTATATATATAATATAATTATAAATTTATATTATAAAAAAATATATATTAGAATAAAGCTTTAAAATATATATATTTTTTTAGTTTACTAATATAATAAAATTATAAAACAAGTAATAATATATAAAGAATTAATAGGCTTTTATAATATGAAATTATAATTATAAGTAAGATATAAAATTAGAAAGTAAAAGTTAGTCGATTTTTAAGAACTAAGAATAAGAAAGGAATAATATAAGCAGATTATAGATTATATGGATATTTAAAGGTTATATAATAGAACCACGTAACTATGAGATAAAATACCTACTATAAAGTGAGTTAGTATAGCTATTTTAAGCTATAAATAGCCAGAACCTTATTATCTCGTTATATATATAATATTAGAAGTCTTATTAGAAGATAATTATTAAGAAATAATCTTGCGGAATAAGTTAAAGCAAGTAAAAGAATAATAGTTATTCTGGATTTGGCTAATCTTAATAAAAGAGGAAAGGTAATTAGATCTTAAGAAGTATATAGTAAAGAGAAATATTATTTAGAAAGGGCAAGGCGGCTGCTTTTAATATATTTTCGAGCCAGGAGGCATTTGTTTCGAGCAAATTAATATAACTATTTTCTGGATTTCCCTGAAATAGAATTATAGCTGTTTTAGCAGGTTAGAAGTAAAGTTTAGGCTTAGTAAGTTAAATCTGTACTTAGAGTAGCAAGTAATTAGATTAACTTAGGCAAGGGCTACTAAGTCTTAATTAAGGCAGGATCCCTTTCTTAAAACAGTAAGAAAAGGCTACTTAAAACGGCAGGGTTTCCGCTTATAGGCAAATACTATAGGCAAAATATAATTATAATATCTATAATAAAAAAAATACTAATTATTATAAAATCTTTTAGTTATTAAAAACTAGAATTTAAAAAATAATATATAACTAAAAGTTTATATAAATTATAAAGCAAGTAAATAATTACTAGGCTTATTAAATAAAGCTATTAGTAAAGTATTCTTTTATTATTATATATTAGTTAAAGAAAAATAATACTAAAGTATTTATAAAGCTTATAGAAATAATTATTATATAAAATAATTACTAAAACTACTAAATTTAATAAATCTTTATACTTGAATCTTATATTTAGCTATAAAAAGAATTCGTTTAAATTATATGCATATATTAAAGCATTTTGAAAAGATTACATTTGTGCTAGGTTGTCTTACTCCTCTGGTCTGACCTACATGTCTAGCCAGCCTCAACCACTCGTTAGAGCAAAAGAATGGGGTGTCAAAGGCTCACGACATTTGATATTCTCCCCATTAAATGATTGAATCTGTTTCTTGTTCCTTACAGCCTCACACCTCCATGCTTTGTACCAAAGAATGCCTCAATTCCTCTCACAACTCTATCCTGAATATCCTCTCCCATACCACGAAAAAGCGGCAAGCGTACAAGCCGTTCACTTTCCCTCGTCGTAAAGCGATCTTCTCCTTTAAATCTCCCAAACCGTTTCCCCGGCTCGCAGGCATGAAGGGCGCTGTAATGACACAAAATACTAATCCCACTGCCCTTCATATACCCCACAAATCTCCCGCATTCCTCCGCATCTTTTAGCCTCAAGTAGAAAATATGAGCATTATGCCTGCCCTCTCCTTCCACGCCCGGTAATACCAGCCATCCTTTCTCACCAAGACTTCGTAACAATACTTGATAACGACTCCATAGCCTCATTCTCTCCGTCACCATGCCCTCAGCACATTGTAGCTGACTCCAAAGATACGCCGCCTGAATCTCACTCATGCAGAAACTAGAACCAATACATTGCCACGTATACGCCTTCCTCCCACCCTTCAAAAACGCACTCCGATCCGTTCCCTTCTCCGCTACTAAATCCGCCTTATCTCTCAACGACACATCATTAATCAACACAGCCCCACCTTGACCCCCCGAAGTCACGTTCTTAGATTCGTGAAAACTGACACATCCAATATGACCAATACTCCCAAGCGCTCTGCCCTTGTACGTCGAAAGCAATGCTTGTGCTGCATCTTCCACAACCATTAGCTTGTGCTTTTTGGCGAGTGCCATGATCGAGTCCATTTCACATGCATTACCTGCATAATGAACTGGTACGATCGCTCGAGTCTTACTCGTGATGGCGGCTTCGATTTTGGTTTCATCGATATTCATGTTATCGGGTCTGATATCCACGAATACAATCGCCGCGCCGCGGAGGATGAAGGCGTTGGAGGTGGAAACGTAGGTGTAGCTTGGCATGATGACCTCGTCGCCGGGTTGGATGCCTAGGACTAGTGCTGCCATTTCGAGGGCGGTGGTTCCGGAAGCTGTTAGTGTTACGGGGCCACATTGGAGGGTTTCCTGGAGCCATTTCTCGCAGTTGCGAGAGAAGGTGCCGGCGCCGGAGAGACTTTCGTTCTGAATTGCTGTTCGTATGTTGGCCAGTTCGGTTCCGATGATGGGAGGGATGTTGAACGGTACGGCTTTGGACTGTTTTTCTGTTGTGGCAGCTCGGGTGCTCGCACCTTTCACTTCGGAGTCTTGAGTAGAGAGGAACCAGTCAATAGTCTTTTGAATGCCTTCCTCAAGACTGACAACTGGTGTCCAGTTTAACACCTCCTTAGCCAACGTGATGTCGGGTTGCCTTTGGACTGGATCATCAACCGGCATTGCAGAATACCTGATAGGATCATCAAGGACTCGAAATCTATTCTTCTTAACCAAATCCACCACAACATGTGCGAGGTGGTCGATCCGACAAAGAGAGTCATTTCCAATATTTATCGGTTGGCAATAATCACTAGCCATGAGTTTGGTAAGTCCAGAAATGCAATCCGTCACGTATTGAAAGCATCGAACTGCAGAACCATCACCCGTTATGTTGATAGGCTGGCACTTCATCGCGGCGGCAATGAAGTTAGATACCACGCGACCGTCTGAGGCTGGCATGCCAGGACCGTAGGCGTTGAATATCCGAGCAATACGAATGTCGATGTTGTGGCTCTGCTGGTACGCATAACACATTGCCTCAGCTACTCGTTTGCCTTCATCGTAGCAGGATCTTGGCCCGTATGGATTTACGTTGCCGAAGTAAGATTCGGGTTGTGGGCATATGAGAGGATTTCCGTAGACCTCTGAGTGGAGAAGGATTGATGTTAATAAATATATTTTGACATTTGAAATATAGCTGAATAGAAGAAAACCCAACATACCAGATGTGCTAGAGAACAACAATCGTGCGCTGCATCGCAATGCACATTTAAGCAAGTTTTCCGTGCCAACATAGCAGGTCCGCAGCGTCTTTATTGGGTCGCGCTGATAATGCTTTGGACTTGCTGGACATGCCAAGTGATAAATCTGATCAACATAAAGGTCGTTAAGAGGTTCTGCTATATCCTGTCTACTCAGTGATCAGCTTTTGCGGCATCCATAGAAAACGGATGTGAAAATCTCACCGAAGAACCGTGAGGTTCGGGGAGGCAATCAGGTGACTGATAGTGCCCTCCAGGCCATTGACGAACGCATCTAGAAGGACCACATTGTGTCCTTCTTTGAGGAGATGTTCAACGAGGTTAGACCCTAGGAACCCCGCTCCCTGTTTTAATTTGATTAGTGTCTCCCAACTGGATTCTTATGTTGAATACATACACCAGCTACTAGTATTTTCATGTTTTGGGTTCGAATTTTGAGAACTCCGGCTCTCTTTGAAATTTGATGAGATGAAATTATTGATTCAATAATTGGAAAATAATCTCTAAAGAATGGTTTCAACATACGAGGGATGTGTCGCGTGCTCACTTCCATGGGGCGAAGAGACTTTGACGTTGTGTAAGGCTGGGGGGCGCCCTGCCTGCTGCTCGCTTCAAAATTCATTCCCGTGGTGCAGGTACCCATGCGAGAATTATGTCAAACACCCTTGTCTGCTGAATCCTTTCGGCTTCTCGGGTATTCTTTGCATAGAACTACCCCTTGCGAAATTTTCCCGAAGAGAACTCACGGAAAGTTAGTCTGAACGCACGCTGGATCCTTAGGGATTCAGTAACCTGGGTCGAAAGCCGTGCTGCTGACACGGATTCAAGGTGGGAGTTAACTCCTACACTGGGTTACTCCAGGGGACTGAGCGTATCATTTAGCGCTTACAGGGGCTTCACCGACTAATGAGCGAATTTGGACGTTGCACTATGCATCCACCGCCAAAAAATTGTCCCATCTTGCTGCAGTTCATGTGAAAATTCATGATTTTTGACCTTTGAGAAATGCCGAAAGTGTAATTATTCGCATATTAATTTAACTAATTTTGATACCAATTTTAATAATATTGTGGTATTATTAGTAGCCTAATATGCCCTCTTATTACCTTTCTTGCCTTTATTTATTTCTCTTAGAAAAATAGTATTATTCTTGATTTTACTAGAATATCTTTTAATACTCTTCTAAGAAATTAGCTCAAATATTAGTTTATAAAGGAAAAGAAAAGAGGAAAAGAGCTAGTTATACTTAATATTATTATAAAGGAATTAAGAGCATTTAAATATCACAAAATAATAACTAATTTTTCAAGAGTAATAAAAGAAGTTATTAATACTAATAAATTAAATATATTTCGAGAGTACTTTTAAAGAAGTAAAAAAAGAAAAAAAGTTAATTTTATAAAAGTAAATAATTGGCCTAATTATTTAAAGACTAATTTCTTTATTTTATCTTTATTAATACCTTTATTAATCTACTAATTTGAATTTTTAATAATAATTAAAACTTCTTTAATAATAATAATAATAATAATAATAATAATAATAATAATAATAATAATAATAATAATAATAATAATAATAATAATAATAATAATAATAATAATAATAATAATAATAATAATAATAATAATAATAATAATAATAATAATAATAATAATAATAATAATAATAATAATAATAATAATAATAATAATAATAATAAACCGAATTATATTTTCTAAAATATTCGAGCTTTTTAAATAATACATAATTACTTTACTAATTTAAAGAAATATATTATATAATAAGAATTCTAGCCTTTATTATATAATTCAATAAAAGCTTTTAGTAAAGTATATAAATTTTCGAAAACTAGTAATAATTAATAAAAAATTAAAATACTTAAATAGCTTTTTAAGTTTATTAATACATATATTAAAAAATATTTGAATTAAATTATTTAATACTTAAAAAAGTATATTTTTATTAAATATAAAATAATAAATTATATAAATAAAAGTATAACTTTAATTCATTTATTTAATAATATATATATATATCTTTTAGAAAACTATAATATTATTCTTATAAATTTATTTACTATACAAATTAATATTTTTATATTAGAAAAACTTGAAATAAAAGTCTTTTATAAGTTTTATTAATATAAAAAGAAATAAAAAAAAACTTTTATTTCTTAAATTTTTATTAGATTTTTTTTTAATTAATTTATATTTTTTTTAAAAAATCGTAATATATTTTTAATATTCTTATTATTTATATATTAATTATAATAAGTAATTAAGTCTTTAAATCAATTAAAACTAGTTTTTAATCTTTTATATATAATTACTAATTTAATTACTTTTAAATAAGCCTCTTTTATTATAAACTTTCTATAATCGAAAATACGAAATTAAATATTAATTAAAATTATAAATAAGTTCTATTTTATATATATTAATTATAAATTAATACATATAATAATAAAGAAAATAAATAAAGAAGCAAAGCTTTTAAAGAAATTAATAGCAGATTTATTACTAAATTAAAAGAATAATTTAGGCAAAATTAAGGCTATTAAGTATAATAAAAATAAGAATAATTAGAAAAATATTAGTACTTTTATTAATATAAATAAAATAAATAAATGAAAGTATAATTTTAGTATTGTAATTATATTATATAACTAATTATATATATAATAATAGAAGCCTATTAAATATAATTTAATTATATAAAAAAATTCCAACCCTAGTATGCAGAAGCACTTTTCTTACCTGGTACTACTACGGTGACCCGAGATCAATTAGCGGAAGATATATGTAATATATATCCAATCTACTGAGGCAAACAGTTTTGGATGCTAGTATAGTGAACTCGGGAGCGGAGGTGAGTGCGGGAATTGGCACGGACTCACCGCTAAGTATGTGGGCAATACGGCCGCACAAGCCACAAACCCACTGGGCAGATTAAATGCAGGCTCTCCCTAGTATCTATAATTAATCTTCCAGGGCGCGGCTGCACAAGCCACAAACCTACTAGGCAGATTAATGCAGGCTCTCCCTAGTATCTATAATTAATCTTCCAGGGTATGGCTGCATAAGCCACAAACTCACTGGGCCTCTAACCCCTATATTACCAAAACCCCGATTTTTCATAACATTACGCATTTGCATATTATACTTGGCTTTCGAGATTTTTAAATAAAGTAATTCTGTAATTCTTTATTTAATTATTAAGGCTATTTTTAAAAAATTCTTTATATAAGTAATTAAATTTAATATTTTCTTAAATAAGGCAAAGAAAAGTCAAGGATATATAAGCTATTTAGGATATATAAGCCTTTAAAGTATATAAACCTTTAAAGTATATATGTCTTTAAAATATATAAGCTTTTGAAATATATAAGTCTTTATAATTACTTTATAATTATTAATATAACTATAGCTATAATTATAGCTCGTATCTCGAGAGTTATATAACCTTATAATATATAGATAACTTAATTAGTAAACTAGTTCCAATTAAGCTTAATAGATTTAAGAGAAGTATATTAATATTATAATATTATATTTCTTACTTTTAAATAATAAATTATTTTATTAAATAAATATTATATAATACTAGTAAACTAATAATAACTATTTTATTTAAATTTTATTAGTCTTTCCAGAAATTATTCTTTATATATTAAGCTTATTAAAGCTTTTATTATTCTTATAATTATATGAATTATAATTAATATATCTATATATATATATATATAAGAATTTAAATAACTATAAAAAGTTAAAAATTAAAAAAGTTATATTTAAAGATCTTAAGAATTTAGGAAATAACTTCAAATTTTTAAGTAAGAAAGTAATATTAAAAAAGAACTTCAAAAATTTACAAATATAAAAATATCTTATTAGAAGAATTCTAAGAAATCTAAATTAAAGAAAATAATTAGAAAAATATATAGGCTATTTACAAGTTTGTATATATCTTATATTATAAGTAATTTATTATATAAGAAGTAAAAAGTAGCAAAAAAAATCAAGTGCAATGTGCGCAATGTCATATGCAATGTTTTTTTTCGGGGTTTTGGCAGGAGGATTGCTATCAGCCTCGGTACAATCAGCGCGTCGTGGTCAAAGCAAGTCATCCAATATCTCGGTTATATAGCGGGCAAGCGTTCCTAATCGGGACAAAACACTTTGAGCCTCCCAACGCGATTGGGCAGCTCGCTGGCCCCATAGTACGGACGTCCTGTGATTAATCTTCAAACTCTGAGATTGTTACCTGGAGTATTGATATGCAGCACCCCCTCCCCCTCCCCCCATTGTTGAGGTTTGGGGTACCCTCCCTTTCCTTCGAAATGGCCAAGAACGAGGAGGAAGCAATTACAAAAATCTGCTGCATTGGAGCGGGTTATGGTATGTCTCTCCAAGTTCGAAAGGTTGCCCAAGTAAGCCACATGAAAAATACTGACATCTTATAGTGGGTGCAACAACGAGTGCCGTTATTGCATATAAAAACCCCTCCGTGGACGTCGTCGTGGTCGACTCATGCGAAGCTCAAATCCATGCTTGGAACTCCGGAAACTTTCCAATCTATGAACCTGGGTTGAAAGACATTCTCTCAGTTGTGGCTCGCTCTGGAAGCAGTGGTGGTGATGTTCGAGGAGAAAAGAAAGCACGAAAAGCTTCCACCTCGAGTATTGGAAATCTTGTATTCTCATCCAACATCGAGCACGCGGTCCAGAATGCACAGTTGATCTTTGTCTGTGTCGATACGCCCACCAAAACAAGGGGCACTGGATCGGGGTTTGCAACTGATCTGCGGTCTGTGGAGGCCTCAGTTAACCGAATCATGGATTTGTCGACAACAAGTAAAATTATTGTTGAAAAAAGCACAGTAACCCTCCTATAAGTTTTCCCTAGTTGCGCAGCTGCTGATTTAGTGCCCAGGTGCCATGTGGAACTGCAGCTGGGCTACGAGAACTCTTGGCTAGGAGTAATGGCAAAGGGGTGAAGCATGAAATTTTGTCCAACCCGGAGTTCCTTGCTGAGGGGAGTGCCATTCGTGACCTCCTTCACCCAGATCGAGTCATTATTGGCTGTGAAGATACAATAGCTGGAAAACAGGCCACAGCGAGACTTGCTTCCTTGTATAAAGCCTGGGTTCCAGAAAACTGCATAATTTCCCTGAATCTCTGGTCGTCAGAGCTTGCAAAACTCGCAGCTAATGCTCTACTTGCACAACGAATCAGCAGTATCAACTCATTGAGTGCCATTTGTGAAGCTGTTGGTGCTGATATTCATGAGGTCGGGCGAGTGTGTGGCCTAGATCGACGCATTGGGCCAGAAATGCTCCGACCATCGATTGGATTTGGCGGGAGTTGTTTTGAGAAAGACATTCGGAGCCTAGTTTACCTCGCCGAGGGTCTTGGACTCAGAAGTGTTGCAGCTTATTGGATGTCCGTGCTAGATTTGAATGAGTACCAGAAACATCGTCAAACCAGTCGCATCGTGGATTTTCTACATCCTGCTGCTTGTGATCGAGTCGCTATTCTCGGCTTCTCCTTCAAGAAAGATACAGGGGATATTCGAGGAACGCCTGCGTTGGCTCTTGTGAGGGACTTTGCTGATAGAGGCTTCCAAATAAACATATACGATCCTCGAGCAAAGATTGGAAGCATCCAGGAGATGCTTGATCGCGAGCTGCCACTCTCATCGCGACACAAGCCAACTGCCATATTTTCGTCCGCTTCAGAAGCGTGCGACCAAGTTCATGCAATAGTCATTGCAACTGCATGGGACCAATTTCGGACAAATTCGAAGGAAACGACGTTAGACTGGACGTCCATAGCATGCCATATGCAAGAACCAAAAGTCTTGTTCGACTGCTGCAACGTAGTCAAAGCTGGATATCTTGAGGGCTTAGGAATGAAAGTGGTAGAATTAGGCAGGAGACGAGCGTTACTTTAGACATAAGAATAGAATAGAAAGAAAAGGCGCGTTACAAATTGATGAGTTGAACATCCGCCAGATACCTATTCCAATTCTATAACAAAGCAACAATTTGATATGTGAAGTGACTTCCTCATAGCTGTTAAACTAGACAGAGCGCTAGTTCTGGGAGTTCTAAAGCTTATTTCTCTACTAATATTAGGACCTTAATAGGCTAGGGGCACCCCGTTCGGCGCCTTCGGCGCCTCACGGCGTATGGGGCATAACTGCATACGGGACGCATCTATATACAAAGCATATTTATATTTAAAGTATATTCTCTACTAATACTAGGAGCTTAGGAGGCCAGGGGCACGGTGTTTGGCGCCTTTGGCGCCTTATAGGAGCGTATATATACGTATACCTTAAGTATAGGAAGTATATATATATTCTTGAGGATATACTTCCTAAGCAATTATAAGTAAGGAACAGAGGGACGTATATCTTGCCTACCTTTTATATATATACCGGGGGCTAAAAAATAGCCGAAAAAGAAAGCCTTACTTTATAATAAAATTATAAAAATTAGCTTGCAAAGTACGGAGGAAGGGGTTTAGAAAGGAATCCAATTCTTAATTATATAAGTACCCGTTCTAGGGTTTATCCAGAGAGGATACTTATGTATTCTAATCAGAGTTGGCCTCCTGTCATTTCCCCTTTGGGCGTATACCCATGTTTTAGGAATGCTACGCGAGCAAAACAGGGATGTTGCAGGGATTGGCAGGGGCACACTGTTTTTGTATCTATAGTACCACGCTCAAAACATTACATAAGCCGGCATCCTAGAGGTTCTGCACCAACATCGCCTTCCCCGAATATTTCTTCATTGTACACTCAAACGCTGATAAATAAATAAGCACCACAACACTTCACCTGTGAGCAAAAAACAAAATCGCTACATCCCCACCGCGCCTGGTCAAAACCCTAAAAGATGTCAGCTGTCGTCTTCGCATACCATAACGTTGGCGTACGTTGCCTCTCAGTTCTCCTGGCACATGGCATCAACATCAAATTGGTCGTCACCCATTCCGACGCCTCAAACGAGAATATCTGGTTCAACAGCGTCGCCGACCTCGCAGCCCAACATGACATCCCCGTTGTCGCGCCAGAAAATCCTCACGATGGGAAGACTATGAAGCTCCTGCATGACGTCGCGCCCGATTTTCTATTTTCATTTTACTATCGCCTCCTACTCAAATCATCCATCCTCAAAATTCCTAAAAAAGGGTGCTACAATATGCACGGCTCGCTCCTACCTCTTTACCGTGGTCGGGTACCCGTAAATTGGGCTGTGCTACATGGGGAGACGCAGACTGGAGCAACCCTCCATGCCATGGTACCGAAGGCAGATGCAGGTGCTATCGTGGATCAGATGGCTGTTCCCATTCTACAAAACGACACCTCCAAAGATGTTTTTGACAAGGTCCTGGTAGCATCAGAACTGGTTCTGCACCGTAGCGTCCCTTTATTACTTGCAGGAACTGCTAAACATACGGCCATGGATCTTAGTCAAGGATCTTACTTCAGTGGCCGCAGTGCTGAGGATGGTCGTATAAATTGGGGGCAATCAGCACTACAAATCCACAATCTCGTCCGCGCAGTGACGCACCCTTACCCAGGAGCTTTTGCAGAAACGGTGAAAGGCCGATTGGTATTATGGCGCACGATGATTTGTGATGAACTGAAGGAGATGCCGGAAGGACCTGCTTTATTTATGAGTAACAGAAAGATGTACTTGAGGGCTGGAGATGGAGGCGTTCTAAGGGTTTTGGAAGTTGAAGTTGATGGAGAGACAGTCACGGCAATTGAGGATACCATACCTCTCTAATACGATCTGATCATGACTCAAGGTATAGTTCATTTTATAACTAAGAAACCCTGGTTTTTCGAAACGAAAGACCAATTGCTTTCCGCTTCAAACAAGGAAAATACAGAAAATTAGCTCAGAATAGAAACTAAGAATACTCAGAGACCGCCACAGCTGCGGCGACACTGCTGATTGTAGTCACGCTTTCCTCCATAGAAGTCTGTATAGCCTTCAAGCAGCCCTGAAACTTCCCTGACCCGGTCAAACACACAATAACCTTGTCCGCATGCCCAAGATACACGAGAGCAATCTGATCCAATTGAAATACAAAAGCCTCGCTAGCACGAATCGACTCTCCATGACCCGAGCCCGTGAAATATGCCGGCTTCTTCATCAGCGCTGAAAGCATTTTCAACGCAGCAGACTTTTGCTCAGACTGCGGCAAAGCTCGAACACTGTTCGCAAGAAAGATCAGACCGAAAGTGAATGCTGCACCCTCCCTGGTCCACTTCTGAAGTTCTTTGTATTTCTTGAGAGCCAGGATGAACGATTGATGAAGATTCTTGCTCGGTGTACAGCTGCGCAGATTCTGGCAGAATTCGAGGGACTCCTTCGTCATGACGTAGTTTGCATTACATCTCCCGTCCGCGAAAGTGCGAACAGATGTTGGTTCAACGATACAAATCCCCGAGCTATCTTCCAAGCTTAGAAGTGCGTTCTGATAAGCTATCTGGAGTACGAAATTTAGAAGCCGTGATGAGCGAAGCAGATCAAGAGTATCGGCGTTCTGAAATACTGTGAAATGGCGTGATTTTGTTGCTGAGTACAGGGGAGGCGGTTGGTAAATTGTCATGGAATCTTCTTCGGAAGTGCCAAATTCGAGCTCCTCGAGCTTGACAGGCTTTGCGATCGTTCGCATCGTCTCCGGGGTCCCCTTCAAGCTTTGGTCCAACATTATCATCAATTGTCCAAAGGGACCACCATCTGCTGCCGCGTGTTCACCTCGGACAGCGATGGCGCCGCCTGAAAACACTGAGAAGCCTAGGGTTTTGTCGGCATAAACGTTGTACGGATCTGTCTTAGCAGATTTCAGCTGTGCTCTGTCACTATATGGCTGAAAAGAGTGAAGGGCCACCGAAGTGATTGCCGATTCGAGGTCATTCAGTGCAATGGCATGGGTAGAAACGATCTTCTTCCTTCTTACTGCCCACTCAGCTCTGGTACGTAAAGTGGACCAGGTCGCAATCGTAGACTGTGTTGGCTTTTCCTGAGGAACACTGAGTATACTCTCGATGTGATTTGCCAGCACGGGTGGTGGTACGGGCCAGCCTCTAGAATCGACAATGTGGACCTTGTACGCTCGGCCTTGGGACCATACCACCGCATGCGTTGAGCTAGGATGTGTCCTGAGTTCATCGATCACCTCTCCAGGAATTCGCGAGGTAGCAAAGATTTCAACCAGCTGCTTCGTCTCAAATTTCTGATTGGCGCCATAAGCCTGCACAGTCTTTGGTGAGATGTACATGGCAGCTAAGGTGTAAAGAAGTCGTGCAGCGGCGTCTACCTGGTTGTCTGTCGGTGAATGAATAAGCCAAGCAAGTGTCCCCTCACACAAAGGCCCTCGTTGCATGAGTAGCCCATCTTTGAACGCATTCGTCGCCCACGCAGTTGATGTCCGGGTCGAATTCATATCTACAAACTTCTTGGCTGCTCGCAGGTAGTTTACCTCGGTTTCTCCGTCTAAACAGTCAAGAGAGGAGACAAAGCTTCCTGGAACCTTTTCTCCATGATTGATTAGATTGGCGTGCTGCTCATTGCCGAAGTTTTCAAGAAGATCTAGAACCACTGCGTTTTCTTTGGTCGCTTTCACGATATCGCGATAGGCGGGGACGGGGTATTGAAGCAGGAACTTGTCATGCTCTGCAGACCTCTGCGACAAAGTGGCTATCACACCTGGCCGTCTCAAGTCGTCGTGTATGATTGGAGGAGGAATTTTCTTGTCTTGGGACAGCTCGAGGTTCTCCAAACGTGAAATGAGCGGGATAGACATAATGATCACGCTAGTTGCTGTGAGTCGTTGAACGGTCCGGGTGTTGAGAGATAAATTATCGTTGGAATAGATTTGCAGTGAAGAGACGGTTCCGCACGGATGTTTAAATAGACGGGTCACCAAAAAACATATCGTGAAATGTGAATTAAGTGGAGCTTTTGGAATATATAAGAAGTTATTTGAGGAAGATGGCACATTTCAGTCTACTCAACTAGGGCGTGTATCTCAAAATCCTACTTCGATACACTCCAACCTGACGCCCCGTACCTCGTGAAATCCCGTCAATCGAGCGCACGTGCAAAATAAACTTTAATGAGTTGGCCATTGTATTTCATGCCCTGGCCCATCCTCTGTGCGCCTTACAGGATCCTGAATTGTCGTATTAAAGGTTGGGGCCAAGAGTAACGAGGCATCGGATTCGCATCCTAAACTTCGTATCCTAACCAGTAACATGTGACCTCCTAATTTTGTTCTTTCGTGGCTTGCTTAGATCCGTCGACGCCGCAGTCGATGTCACCTCAGCCGGCCAGTCGGCTTAGAGTTTTTTTTATATTTTTTTTTAAAAAAAAACACTTCAATTTAGCCATAACCGAGATCCAGGGTCAATGCACACCCCAAGCGAATGCACACCCTTTCCCACCAAAACTACCCATTTTTAGACCTTAATAATTAAATAACTAATAAGTATATTATCTTTAAAATTTCCGTATTACTAGTTTTATATATATTAAATAAGATCATAATATAAAATTTATGTAATATCATATATTACACAGTTAATATTAAGCGTAAAGTTTATAAATTACTAGGATTTTATATTATATAAATAATTTCGCAAATACGATTAATAAATAAGAACTACTTAACTTTATATTAATAATACGGCTTAGAGAAGACCTTTATTAGTGAATTTTATTTAAAATCTTAATATTTTTCAAATTTTAATTAATACTTAAATTATAATAATTACTTTTTTAATAAAAACTATTATTCTTTATATATTAAAAAAGATTTAAAAAAAGTACTTAGTTTTATAAGAGTTCAAAGTTTAAAGCCTTGGTTTTTATTTAAATAACTATATTATAATAAATACAAATATAAAATTCAGTATTTAATATTTTTAAATTTTAAATAGAAGCCAAATTTAAATAATCTTAAAATATCTATATTTAAAATACAAATAAATACTCTATCCTCTTCCCTTGCTCAATATAAAAAAATTATATTATTTTCTTTAATAGTTATTTAGTAAATAATTATTTAATATTATGTATTCGGCTAAAATTGGGGTGTGCATTGACTAGGGATCCGTCGGAGCAACCTCCCTGTCTCCCCAAACAAAATTTGAGTCCGTGCCGTAAGGAGTGCCGCCAAAGTAAGAAGGTGTGGTAGGGAGCCCTGGCAAGAAGGCTCTGTGAAGCTGTCTTCCTGCGAGGAAGCGGCGGAGTTAATCTCAGGATGCGGCGCAGTCCATATTGTTCAACCCGCTTTGTCTCTGCAAAGTTCCTTTGCAACCCGATGGTAAAGGGGGCGGACGCATCGGATTGAACTCCTGTAGGACGATCATGTGTCGCTGTGCTGTTGCCATAGAGGCTTTTACACCTAAAAGTTTAGTAGACAGGGTGTGCACGTGCTTTCACTATAGCAACACCCGTATCCGACAGAAAGCTGCACGTACACGAGTTCGCTCCGATGTGTCCACCCCCTTTACCGGGTACGCCGTGAGGCAAAATTTCCTATGTTCCTACGGCATATTCATGCAGTTCTCTTCGTGTATAGAGCTAGTGCAATTGAGCTCCAAATAGAAACCCTATTCCTTTTGTTATATCGCCATTAAATTATGACTACTCATTTTTAATTTTATGGCATCCATTTTGAAACCTTCAAACTTGCTACTTTTCTACCAAACGCCAAGAAAACATGTCACCTTCATCACCATCTTCATCTCCCACCACAACATCTGGAATCCTGTCATCAAGGGAAGCAGCAAGTTTGCAAGACCATAATGTCATTTGTGACATCCCAGATGAGGACGAGCGAGTCATATTTGAACGAAAAACAGCTGTCCGAAGCAGCAAGACGAACTGGCTGAAACTTTATCGATACGCCACGGTTTGGGATATGGTATTCGTTTGTGTTGCATCATTTTGCGCAATTGCTGGCGGCAGTATGATTCCCCTCACAACAGTAAGCTTGATTTAAATCATTTCCGTAGAGTCAGCTAAAACGGTATTCAGGTCATCTTTGGGGAGCTCGCTGGCAATCTTCAGCTGGTGGCGTCCGACGCCATCGGCCGTCCCAAGTTCTTTCAACTGCTGAACAGCACTGTTTTATACTCGATATACCTTTCAATAGGAATTTTCATTTTGATATATGCCGCCACTGTCGGATTTATATACACTGGAGATCATATAGCATCCAAAATTCGACAAGAATACCTCAGAGCCATTCTTCGCCAAAACATTGGATATTTCGATCGGGTTGGTGCTGGGGAGCTTACTGCCAGCATCACGAGTGATATCAACATCATTCAAGATGGCGTATCCCAGAAGGTGGCTTTGACTATGACGAGTGTTGCAACTTTCGTCATTGCTTTCATCATTGGATTTACGAGATCTTGGAAGTTGACATTGATATGCTCATGCACCGTGTGGTCGATCGTCGCTGTCATGGGATATGGCTCAAGACTTTCTATTGGCTACAAGAAGAAGTCTTTGGATGCATCTGCTGAGGGTGGAAGCTTCGCAGAGGAAGTTCTCAGCTCCGTTCGTAATGCCACGGCTTTTGGAACACAGGATAAACTAGCCAGGCAACACTGCTCTTATCTAGCGATCGCAGAGCATTGGGGTTTCAGATTCAGAGCAACATTAGGCACTATGATTGGAATCTTGTACTCTTTCCTTTACCTAAACTATGGGCTGGCGTTCTGGGCGGGGTCTAAGTTTGTTGTTAATGGAAGTGCTACTTTGTCAGACATCATAACGATAATTTTTGCGATAATCATGGGATCTGCGAGCCTCAGTCAAATAGGTCCAAATTTCCAAGCGCTAGCGGCCGGTATTGCAGCTTCTTCTAAAGTGTACGCCACTATCGACCGAATTTCGCCATTGAACCCTACTACAGAGGTTGGGACTCGACTTGCAAACGTCGAGGGAAAGGTGGAATTTCGAGATATCAAGCATATATACCCCTCCAGACCGGATACCGTGGTTCTACCGGGACTCAACCTAGAGTTCCCAGCTGGGAAGATGACGGCGCTAGTTGGAGCTTCCGGCTGTGGCAAGAGCTCGATCGTGGGCTTGCTGGAGAGGTTTTATGAACCAGTGGCTGGAGCTATTCTACTGGACGGCCATGATATCACGGGGCTGAATCTACGTTGGCTCCGCCAACAGATGGCCTTAGTACAGCAGGAACCTGTTCTCTTCAGCCAAAGCATTGCGGAGAACATTCGAAATGGATTGATCGGGTCAACTTTTGAGCATGAGCCAGAACAGCAACAACAGGACCGCATCATTCGTGCCGCAAAACTCGCCAATGCACATGGCTTCATTTCGGCATTGCCTGAAGGCTATAATACATACATTGGAGAACGAGGCTTCCTTCTTTCCTCTGGCCAGAAACAACGAATTTCGATTGCTCGTGCAGTCATCGCAGATCCGAAGATATTACTTCTGGATGAGGCTACTTCAGCGCTTGATAATAAGTCTGAGGCCATTGTTCAAAAGGCGCTTGATGAATCAACGAAAGGCAGAACGACCATCGTCATTGCTCACAGGTTATCTACTGTCAAGAAAGCAGACAGAATCGTTGTCTTAGAAAATGGTTGTATTGTTGAGCAAGGCACGCATAAGACACTTCTACATCATAGAGGGGTATATTTCAATTTCGTTTCTGCTCAACGCTTCGTCGATCATCCAGGAGAGGAAAGAGATGAAGATGTTCTTTCAACTGCGAGTTCAACATTGCCAAAGAAAGAGTTCAGGTCCCATGACTATGAATTCGCGTTTGAAGATTTCGATCTTCCTGAGCTTGGCACAGGTGTGATCAGCGTCAGTACACGAGACTCGAGGGCAGTGGTGAATGATAAGAATCACCGTGTTAAGCAAGCCTCGAAAATGCCACGGCGCCGCCACAAACATCAGGAAGACGGGAACGTACGTTATTCCTTATGGAGCATACTCAAATTCATCCTTTCTTTCAATATCGGCGATGCGCTATTCATGTCTTTAGGACTCATTTGCTCAATTGTCGTCGGAGCAGGTCAACCAGTACAAGGAGTACTTCTTGGGAAGGCTGTAGTCTCGATTTCCCTCCCACTCTCGAATAGCAGTCGACTAAGATCCGAGATTGACTTTTGGGCACTTATGTATCTTATGCTTGGATTGGTGGAACTTATTGCGATAGTGGCCCAGGGAGTCGCTTTTGCGTATTGCTCCGAAAGGCTTATCTTCCGCGCCAAGGATCGAGCTTTTAGAACCTTCTTGAGGCAGGATATCGCTTTTATGGACGAGAAGAAAAATGGAGCAGGATCGTTGACTTCTTTCCTATCCACCGAGATCAACCACTTGACGGGCATCTCAGGTATGACCCTTGGAGCATTGCTTTCGTCCGGAACCACGCTTTTCGCCGCAGTTTGCATCGCTCTGGCAATTGGATGGAAACTTGCTCTTGTAACCATGAGCACCATTCCAGTCGTCCTTGGTTGCGGTGTCCTTCGCAGCTGGTCGTTGCGCCGCTTCGACGAAAATTCCAAGGCAGCATATCAGGAGTCAGCCAATTATGCTTGTGAGAACATTAACGCAATGCGAACAGTTGCAAGTTTTACCATGGAGTCAAAAATCGATCAAGACTATCACAGACAGATCGCCAAGCAAGGTAGAACGTCTTTGAAGTCGAACCTGAAGACTTCCAGCCTCTACGCGGCGTCGCAGTCACTCATTGTGCTTTGCAGTGCCCTTGCATTTTGGTATGGTGGGACTCTCGTCGGAAGTGGAGAATATGGCCTTTTGCAGTTTACAATCTGCTTTTATGAGATAATTTACGGGGTTCAGACAGCTGGAGCGGTCTTCAGCTATGCCCCTGATATCGGTAAAGCCTTGAATGCCGGATCAGCACTCAAGAATCTTGAGGACAAACGGCCGGAAATTGATACATGGAGTACTGAGGGCAAGAGCGTTGAGACTGTGAAGGGCGACATTGAGTTTCGAGATGTTCACTTCAATTATCCAGGGCGACCAAATGTGCCTGTTCTCCAAGGGTTGAATTTTACTGTAAAAAGTGGCCAGTATGTAGCCATTGTCGGCGCGTCTGGATGCGGGAAGTCGACTATAATCGCCATGTTAGAGCGCTTTTACAATCCAGTTTCTGGGGGTGTACTCGTTGATGGCAAGGATATCTCTCGTCTCAACGTCAACGATTATAGGTCTCATCTAGCTCTCGTATCCCAGGAACCTGTTTTATATGGCGGCACAATCAAGGAAAATATTCTGCTAGGTATTGATAGTGCTGATGTCAGTGAAGAACGACTACTGCTTGCCTGCCAGCAAGCCAATACTTATGACTTCATTATGTCGCTCCCGTAGGTTCTTCACACTGCCCAAGAAATGTTCAAAATGCTTACAGATAATCTTAGTGACGGCTTCAATACCGAGTGTGGCTCCAAAGCCATTCTTCTTTCTGGCGGACAAAAGCAAAGATTGGCAATAGCCCGCGCACTTCTGCGCAACCCACGGATCCTCTTGCTAGATGAAGCGACATCTGCATTAGACTCCGAGTCTGAGAAGATTGTTCAACAAGCGCTAGATACAGCTGCGAAGGGGCGTACTACCATTGCGGTGGCCCACAATCTACGTACTGTCCAGAAGGCAGATATGATCTACGTACTGGAGAATGGAGCTGTTGTAGAGAGCGGGAGGCATGATGAGTTGATGGCTTTAAATGGAGTATATACAGAGTTAGTATCATTGCAAAATTTAGCTCAACCAGCTCGTTCGAATTGAGCTTTGAATTTCAATAAATAAAGAAGTCATATTGGCATCTTTTCAATAATTAAAGCTTGGCTTCGTGGACCCGAAAACGGCAGGCCTTGACTGCTAATACAGACTTTATCATAAAATTCTAGCCACAGCATGCGTATGAATACTGTTTATACAACTGTCCAAGCTGGCCAATTGCTCGCACGACTCATATGATCACGAATCAATGCATCTCCCTCTGCGGCCCCCCCGCCCCCGGCATCGCCTCCATCGTCTCCACCGCCATCGACAGCCCCAGGTCAGATCCCAAAGATTAGACTCGACCCTAAGTCGAGTCGCAATCCCGGATATCAAAGGGAAAACGCGGGCGTGGTACGCAGACGTCTGAATGAGACTCTCAAGGAGAGGTATCGGTCTATGTCATCTTGCTTGCCGTCACTCAGTCGAATCATCCACGATTGGCCCGTCTAGGCACTTTGTAGATCGGGATCTTTGTTGAATTGGTGGTATGCTACCTTAGCTAGCCTACCAGTCCTTCCAGCACCAGTTTCAACCACTAATTTAGTACTCTCCACTCTCATTTGTAATGTGTCACTTGAAGAGCTTGCCAAGCTCACTAATATATCGTCATTTTGATTATTTGCTTTATTGGCTAATTTATAATGTACCGGAGAAAGCGGGCTTGGCGTCATTCAAATCGCTAATAAGTAATGGGAATAAAGGCCCTTACTTTGGACACTTCTCCTCTATTTTCAGACTTCACTCTGCTGTATCTAGTCATTCTACGTACCGCCAACTCTCAATATATCGCTTTTGTACCAATATATCGATCCCATTTCAATAATCTTTATCCTGCGTAGGAGAACTCTGCTTCTAGTTCTACATCCTCTCGCCCAGCTATCTACGTATAAATTAGCATATATTACATGTCTTAATTGATGATCTTACAAGTTCTGCAGGCCGATCCCTGAGCCTTCTCTTGTCATTTTGCAGCCCTTGACGTCTCCAATGCGCCTGTAATCACGTCCATCCCCATGCCATTGTGGTAAGATGGGGATGACAGTGCTTTGACCGATTTTGAATGCTGGTGGCTAACATGACTCACTTGAGCTGGTATTGAGCGTGCCTGCGGTGTTGTGGCGTCATTACTGTCTGGTCCAAAGCGAGGAGGATAAGGAGACGGAAGTCTGTATTGCCTTCGCGTGACTGCAGGGGCTGGTGGCTGGTGATCAAAGGCCACTCTAATATTTTCAAGGTTAAAAGCCGATAAGGAGTTTGCCAGAAGAGCAGAGGCTGTTGTGTTTACAGCATTCCACCCAGCATAAAAGTGGCGAGCATGAAGGCTCGGAGGCTCCTAATGCCTGCTGAGTTGGAGGTGATAAATAAGTGAGATAGGGCTAGTCCAGAGAAATTCGAGATTAGGAGAGGCTTATGTGGATTCTGTTCAAGGAAGATCTGACGTATCAGTCAAGCCGCTTGAGAGATAGGCTTATTTATGCTTGTGATATCGGATTGTCGTGGTTTGTTGCTGTCGACTACATCAATTCCTTCACTTTGGGAAGCTTTACTGGCGTCATCCGATCTCGATTTCCTTAACTGCTGATAGGGTTGGTCATGGCGGTTATTGGGCGACCCGGTCCATGGCTTCCTAGCACCTATGTCCTATATCGAGGGCAGGCGGGGTAATTAAAGGATTGCGTGAGGCCCGTTAGGCAGATCAGCATTTTGAGTATGCGATCGAAATAACCTTGAATCAGAGGATCCAGATATGGACCTTCCTTGACCGTTCCTGAGATCATGGATGACTTTATTGAGTTCCTACCTGATAGATTGTCAAACGTGATCGAGGATTCAATGGCAATGACCTGGGGGCTTGGATTCCGGTGCCTATGGGTCGTCCGACATTACATTGGTCGACAAGACACAAAGGCGTTTTGGGGGAAGCTTAACCAGATGAGCGTGACTTACGAAAACTCACTACTCACCATAGCAGCTGCAGTTAGAGACTTCGACACTTATGGCCTTCTTGCGTCGGCTGTTGGCGTCGACCTCAGCTTTGCGCAAGAGCTGGAAAGCACTTGTTAGTCTCCTTCCTCATTGCCTGATCCTGCAGCCTTGATATGTAAATCCGTACGGAGTACCAGAGGTTGGACAAATCAAGAAGCATGCGTTTCAACTCGCCGGCTCTTTTCCACCGATGAGCAAGTCTATTATGAATGCCAGGCCAGCTCCTCTCCGGAGTCTTAAACCATGATCTAGAAGAGGACCATCACCGTCAACGCGGCAGTTCTCGACAAGATCAAGCGTCGCACCACCAGCAACAAATTGTGCAATAACCATTATCTGCGAGCCCCCTGCGCCAAAGGCGACGAATGCTGTTTCGAACACAAATATAAACCCACGGAGGAAGACTTGAAGGCTATGGCGTATCTGGCGAGGCTCAATCCGTTTCTCAATGGGCAGGACTGCGAGTTAGAATTTTGTATTTATGGACATCATTGTCCGAGCATGACGATGGGGGCAGGCTTGGCGATATTCCGGACCAATCGGTTTCTGCCGATTCGTTCCAGGGGTCTGGAACGGGCGGTAATAGAACGTTCCAATCATTCCTAAGCGAGCTAATCCCTATAGATTCTCGTTATTTTATAAAGAACTTCTATTAATTATGCTATTAAGAGGCTAAAAACTATTATATAATCTCAGAAAGGCCTTTATTAAGCCATAGTACTACTGCAAGTAACTTTACTATTATAAGAAGTCTTTTATTGAAAAGTAATCGATTTATTAATGGAAAATCGATTTATTGAAGGTTGACAGACTGCAGAATGACTAGATACCGAAGAGTGAGTTCTGGAAACAGAGGAAAAGTGTCCAAAGTAAGGGATTTATTCCCATTACCCTTCGGCAATACCGGTAATGCCGAACCCGCTTTCTCCGATATATTATTAATCAGCTGATAAACCAAAGGTAATTAAAATAACGATATACTAGTAAGCTTGGTAAGCTCGGCGAGTGACGCATGACAAATGAGAGTGGAGAACCCTAAATTAGTGGTTGAACCTGGTGCTAGAAGGACTAGTAAGCTAGCTATGGTAGCGTACCAATTTCAACACGCCTCCTCCTTATAGTCGAGGTTCAATGTCAGTGAGGCTAATAAGCCCCAATTTTGATTATAGCAGTTCGAAAGCCGGTCTAGGGAATGGTTTGGTGAGAATATCGGCCATTATTTCCCCGGTAGGAACGTGCTTGAGATCGATTTCCTTGGTATTAATGTAATCCCTAATAAAATAGTATCTAATATTAATATGCTTGGTTTTTTGCGAAAAGCGGGCGTTCGTAGCTAGATCTATAGCTCCCTGAGCGTCCGTTTTCACCTCAATAGATCCTATAGGAATCGATTTTTCCTCAAACAGTTATTTTAGCTATAAGGCTTCTTTAATTACCGGCGTTAAGGCGATATATTCAGCTATAATAGTGGCTGTAGTAATAGTTTTTTGCTTGGTACTAGCCCAGCTAATAGAACCACCGAATATGGTAAAAACCATACCGGAGGTTAATTTGCAATCCTGTAAATCGCCTCTGTAATTAGTATCTGAGTATCCAATAAGCCCTTTATTAGATAAAGCATTATATAAAACATCTATATTAGGTAACCCCTTAATATATCGCATTATATGCTTCTATATAGTACCATACGAAGCTTTAGGACACGAATTGAAACGTCCTAAGTAACCTGCGGTAAAGCAGAAATCGGGACGTAAAGCTAAAGAGGGCCATATAAATAATCTAGTTTGATTTTAATATTCCGTAATATTAATATTAATTCCATTAGGTACTATAGGTTCGGCCATTAGAGTAATAATAGGCATATAACCTTCTATTTAATATCTTAGGAGCATATTTATAAAATATTAATTTTAGTATAAAAATACCGAACTATCCTGTAAATATATAATTTCTATACCTAGAAGCATTTTGATTTCTCTCATATTAGTTATATTAAATTTCTAATATAATTAAGCTTTAATTCTATTAATATAGTTCATGTTTTTTCTAATAATAATTATATTATCTATATAAATAGTAATTAGAATTAGTAGCTAATTAACCTTGTATTTCTAGTAAATATAGAGTACTAGATTACTAAGTAATTACTAGAAACTAATAAAATAGAAAAAATAATTAATTACCTAATACTAAACCCTAGGAACTTATTTCAGGCTATAGATATTCTTTCGTAATTAGTAAATAAGGTTTATTCCTTTAATAAAACCAGGGAATTATTTTATATAGTACTTCTTTTCTAGTTCCCTATATAGGAACGCTATTTAGATATCTATCTATTAAATATAAAGCCTATATTTAGCCGCTAGGGCTAATATAATTCGAATAGTAGATAGTCTAGCTATAGGAATAAAGGTTTTAAAATAATCTATACTATATTCTTATATATAGCTCTATACTACAAGCCTAGATTTATAGCATCTATTAGACTTGATTTTAAAGATCTAGTAGTATCTAATGATTTTTTAGTATTTTCGTATTACTAGATCCCAGATATAATTTCGTAAATGGAAGTCTAGCTTCTTTTTAATTAAAGGCCTCTAGAAATAAGTATCTGGGCTAGAGAAAGCTTCTTTAATTAATAATGGAATTTTGGAAGCTTCTATATTCTAGTTAGTAACTAGTAAAGTATAGTAATTCACTAATTCCCTAGTAATTCTAGTTAATTTCGGATATCTAGGAAGTAGTTTACTCCTAAAACTAACTATTTCGGGCGCTTTCTAATTTATAGAACCCTATTCAGGAGCACCTATAGGTACTATAGGTTCTTGGTTATTCTTAAATAGGGGTTCAGGGAGCTTACTTAGGTCAGAAATACCCCTAATTACATTATATAATATATTTCTAGTAATATTTCTTTTAGTATTAGAGTGATTTTCTCTATTATTTTCTAATAGATTATTAAGCTATTAATTTCTAGTATTAATAATAATAGTATTTCTATAATCTATATCGGGATTA